CACAGGGACTCAGGACACAGTGGACTCAGGGCACAGGGACTCAGGACACAGTGACTCAGGACACAGGGACTCAGGACACAGTGGACTCAGAACACAGGGACTCAGGGCACAGGGACTCAGGACACAGGGACTCAGGACACAGGGTCTCAGGGCACAGTGGACTCAGGGCACAGGGACTCAGGACACAGGGACTCAGGGCACAGGGACTCAGGACACAGGGACTCAGGGCACATGGCATCTGGTTGCCAGGGTGGATGGATGATGGACGCCCAGTGGGTGGGGGGATGGACAGGTAGATGGATGGTGGATGGGTGGGTGGGTAGATGGTACATGGATACGTGGGGGGTGGGGGATGGGTAGATGGATGGTATGGAATGGTGGATGGAACGGTCAGTGGGTGGGTGGATGGATCGATGGGTAGTTGGATGGATGGATGGATGGATGGATAGTGGTTGGAGCAGCACCACGTGCCACCTGCCTGCCACCCTGTCCTGCCTGGCCTGCCGCTTCCCAGCCACACACCCTGGCCCTGGCCAGGCCTCCCCTCTGCCTGGGCTGCCTGTGCCCTTGGCCAGCTCCCAGGGCTCACTTGAAGGCCACTTTCTGCCCCAGTCCCTCCTTGCTCACTCAGCCTTGGGGCCCACCACCCTGGCTGCCTGTGGATGCAGGTACCTTCCTCCCTGCCTAGAGGGAGAGCCCCCAGGGCGGACCCTTGATCACTCCTCTCAGACACCTGGCTCAGCACAGGGCTGGCAGAAGGAGGTGTCCAGCCACGGCTGAGGGACGGGTGCAGGAATGGGTCAGTGGGTGGAATTAGTCAAGAGGAGTGGACAGGTGGACGATGGAGGGATGGTCACTGGACAGTGGTCTGAGGAGGATCCCGAGAAGAGAGAAGGGGCCCTCCACCAAGCCCTGACAGTCCCTTGACTTACCCACAGAAAGGGGATCCTGGACGCTTCCAGAGAGCACAAAGACCTACCTAAGAAAGCCCAGGACTTCCTCGGGGCAGCACCCTAGAGCAGAGCCCACACTCGCGGGGACCAAGGAGGGTGGATGCTCAGGAGTGAGACACTTTTGAGGTCCTGGGCTCCTCTTTTTAGAGGAAATTCTTTAATCAGTGAGCTTGGGAAGTGTGGGGGGTGGGGTCGGCCTGGTGAGCCCAACCAGCTGGATGACAGCACGGGCCAGGGCCTGGGGTGCGGCTCTCCCAGACCTCTAGGTCAACGTCTCCCAGTCAAGAGGCAGCACTCAGAATGAAGAATCCCCTAAGTCCCTACAAGGTGTACCCAGCTCTATTTAGACCAAAGAAAACATGGGTATATGCTAGCAGTGCGTCCCCTACGCTGAGGCCCAGGGCATTTTGGGGTGCAGGCCTGGGGGGAGTGGGCCTGGAGTGAGCAGGCCTGGTGGAGTGGGGCTGGGGGGGGCTGACCTGGGGGAGCAGACCTGGGGGAG